GGACTGGTTATAATGATTAAATTCTTTCAGTGATGGGACTAAATTTTTGATTCTGGCAATCTTAGCAGAGCTGACTCTTTAGCACTGTTGTATACTTCATCTCAGCTAAGCTTGGTGGGATTTGTAGGAACTAACCAGGTGAGAGATGCGGAAGAGTATTTTAGAGAGAAGGAGCAGTAGGTGCCAAGACAGAAAGGCAAGTAAAAGCATAGCAAGTTTGGAGAACTGCAAACTGTTCATTGTGGCTGGAGCATACATTTCAGGAGGCAAAGAAAAGAGATGGACGTGGGAGGTGAGCACCCGCACACCTTTTGACTTAAGTCTGTATGAACCTCATAGAGGAGCATGCCGCCTGTAACTACCTTCATCAAGATTATAAGGGTGTTTCAATAAAATAGCCCATATTTTGTGTGCTTAGTATGTTTACATTTGTTTTGTTTTTATGTATAAGGCTTTTTGTATAAAACAGCATCTGCTTAACCGCCCCGAATAAAATTCCTATGAACAAAGAAAGAGGCAAAAAACACACAAGTAGCAAAAACTAATAGGCACTCTAGTGTCAGAATGTAGAGGGAAGGCCAGGCGTGGTGGCTCATGCCTGTAATCCTAGCACTCTGGGAGGCTGAGTGGGAGGATTGCTTGAACTCAGGAGTTCAAGAGCAGCCTGAACAAGAACGAGACCTGTTCTCTACTAAAAATGGAAAAATTAGCCAGGTCTTGTAGTGCGCGCCTGTAGTCCCAGCTACTCAGGAGGCTGAGACAGGAGGATAACTTGAGACCAGGAGTTTGAGGTTGCAGTGAGCTACAATGATGCCACTGCACTCTACCCTGGCAACAGAGTGAGACCCTGTCTCAAAAAAAAAACAAAAAAAAAAAAACGAATTCCCACTAGCTATAAATAAATGGAATGTGGGAAAATCAAGGAGTTACCTGCCCCATGTTTTGCCCTGCCCACCTATAGGCGTGGAAGACAGAACATGCTTCATGCTTTCACCACAGCCTTCCCCTTGATTTGGAGACCCCAAGTTTTAACCAACCAGAAAATCACACAGGTGCTGCTTCCTTGTGCAACCTAAGCACTGCTGCTTTCTGCCTCTCCTTTCCCTCCCTCCCCAACCCAAGGATACACATATGTATACTTCCCCACACACCACTTTTCTGTACCTATTTAGAAAGCCCAATTCCCAGTAATGACAGAGCAGAAAGTTGGGGTGAATGAGGTGGAAAGGGGAAAATCTGACTATGGTGTTTGCATCTGGTGACATGTAATTCCTGAAAACAAAATCATGGGAGTTAGAATAGAGAAAGGAAGAACCTGGTAGTTGTATATGCTATGGAGCATATAGATTGTGACATACTATACCAATTTTGGGTGTCTAATATCCAACAAGTGTGGTAAGAAAATCCTACCGAGGTGCACCAGGCAAATGCCTGAGAGGCACTAGGAGTGGGTGGGAGTTGTCATCTGCCCCTGACTGCAGGTCTAAGAGAGCAGTGAGCAAGGCCAAAGGCAATCAATGCAACTCATCTAGTGGGTTGAACCAAATGTGAACAGATCTTCATTGGAAGCTGAATAAAGAGAAAACTGCAACATGCAATGCCTAATTTGTTTAAAAAATACTGTAGAATATGGAAAGGGAATCACAATCCTGCAGATTCCAAATCTCAATAAACTTTTGAAAATGATCTACTATAGAAACCATGAAAATTTTAGAAAACCATTGTGGTTCTTTGTAGGATATAAGAAGCCACGTCCTCCGTTGAAAAAAATTGGAAGATAATAAACATAATTAGATTAAAAGGCTATAAAAATGAAATTTAAAAAGCACAAAAAGTGAACAGAACAAAGTAGAAAGAACTTGGGGAAATATGGATGGTTTAAAGGAAGCTGAAACTTCTATAGCAGAATTAAGAGGTAACCAGGAATCAATAAAAAAGAAAAATTAACACTAGAGAAAATCTAATACCTAATGTCAAACTTAAGAGGCTTCCATAAAGTCTAGAGAAAAAGAAGAAGAAAATGAAGATAATAGATATAGAAGAATAAGAATAGAGATTCAGCCTAAGAGGCCTTGGTATTGTGGAAAAGGAAACTAGAAAAATTGGAAAAAGAAATAAAAACAAGAGTTCCAATTAAAGAAGCTTCTCAGAGCTGGAGAAAAAGAAAGAGCCCTCTGTGCACAGATTGAAAGGACTCTCTATGATCTAAGCTAAATTAACAAAAAATGTATACATGTCTATCCCAACAAAACTTTTGTATTATGAAGACAAAATTATTCAAGGATCCAGGCTAAAAACAAAATAAAACTAACCAAAGCAAATAAAGGGGAAAATTAATTATAAATGAACAAAAATCAGATTGACATCCGACTTCTGTAATAATAAATGCCAGAAGACACTGGAGCCGTGTCCATGGAATTTCAAAGGACAAAGAAATGCAACCTAAGCCAAGTTACGTTACATTCACGTAGATTTGGAGTCAGACAGCCAGGGTGCAAATCCCGGCTGTCCCACTGATCCATGTGCCCTTGGGCAAGTCATTTACATGCCTCATAATGAGTGACTGACTCAATTAAATGAGATAATGCACAAAAAGTACTCAGAATATTCACTAAATGCCATTTTAACTTGGTAAATCCAGTTAAATTTGGAATTTGAACTCAGGTCTGCCTATCTAGAATCAGGCTCACAGAATTTGTCCTCCAGTCCTGACCTTTCTGACACTGGAGGTTTGGTACCTACTTTTGTTATTAGAATTATAGTGCCTGCTACGGCTTCTAGAACCCATTCCCACATTTAAGTTGTGAATGGTACTTTGAAGGTCTTAGGGGAATGTAAAGAATATGGGAGAAAGGAAATATTTTACTGGGAGGAACTTAAGAATTTTACTGGTCATAGAAGGCCTATACACCATTCAAATCAGGCAATATCCAAGTTCAATGGTTAGGAAATTTTCCCACAATCTCCTTCCGCTACTGCCACATATAATCAAGAAGAAGCAGGGGAGTTTCTGGTGCCATTTCATGCAGAGGCCTTATAGCACATTTGATATCTAAAAGAACATTACCTGATAACTCCTAACAGCTATGAAAAACAAATGTGCAATATGTAGATATTAATGAAGCTTGTTTTGGTTTTTGTAAAATATAAGTAGAGAGTTTTTTTGGACCAAATTTAAGGACAGCAACCTGGGAGACATAGACACAAGTTACCCTGAATATATGCTCCCTGATTTAGGGCTTTTGCTTTTGTGTTGTGTTTTGTTTTGTTTAATCAAAGGGTCAGAAGATGCGTAGGCATAAGCCTGGACTTCCTAAGAGGGTCTGGAAAGAAATTGCAGGAAGTGTCAAAGACAAGAAGTGATTCTATTGCAGCTTATTTCCAGATCTGTGCCAATATCTGAACTTTATGCAATTATTAATATTTCTGAGGAGTGCTACTACTTCTCCAAATTTCTCTTACCTTCCTGGACCTGCAGCGTGTGATACAGCCATCAGCTTATCTGACTTGCAGTCCTGCATATCCATACCTCATCATTCACATGCCCAAATGGCATGAGGCCCAGAGGCCACATTTTCAAAACCCAATATCAGGATACATACCCTGACCAAAGAACTTTTCTAATTTGTGATAGCATGTATAAGAAAAGTTTTACGAGGCATAAGCAAAACAAACTATTACATATTTAACCCATCATTTTTATTTAAAGAGAATAAAATCATATGACATTAGAACTCTTCTAGAAAACCCAGGATATATATGTCACAACTTGCTCTTTATTTCTGTGTGACTTCTTCTGATGGGCAAGACCAAGATAAAAAAAATATATATATATCTATTAGGTGCAATTTGGTTGCTAGCCACAGAAACTGCCCTTTGCTAACACAGGCAAAAAGAAATATTTTGAAAGAATATGTTAGTAACTCATGAAATTTGTAGAAAATAAAACTTCAAAAAGTACCAGAACCAAAAATTAAGACAGGGCTAGAGACAGAGAGTAGAAGAAGAAAGGGAAGAAGGGAGGGGAAGAAGGAGGGAGAGACAGATGGATTGAGCTTAATTAGAAATGGTGGGCCACAACATTGGCTAGGGCAGCGTATGGGACTTTTAGGAACAGTGTGAATGTACCTTTTAGGTACAGCCTCATTCCCACTGTATCTGAAAGGAAACCGGTAGCTATTACTCCAGGCAAGATCATATTTATATGTAAATGGAGGATGGATGCTGGGCAAGCAGATACAAGTGATTTTCACCACCAAAGCTTTGCTAAAGTACTTTTAGGCTTTAAGTGACTACCTGCTTGTACTTGCAGAGATATTGCTCAAGACAATTTCTGCTTGGGCAATTCATTAAACTCACTAGCATTCAGCACCCATACCTATTGCCTTCTATGTTCTTTTCTGTGTTGCAATCCTTCCCATACTTGTGAAGGCTAAAAACATTTCTGAAACCCCCTTGACACTATGTTCTAGAACTGATTTAAGCCCCTATCAGTGAGATGTCATTGCATGAGATTTGAAAGGCAGAAACAGGGGTGGGAGGCCACTGGTACAGAGACAGTGTATGTATTTATTTATTTTCCTAGAGCAGTAGCAACTTCAGAAACTGATAAGCATTAGTCTTTCCTATGGCCAGAAATCACCTTGTATTGCCTTGCCACAACTTCATGACTAGGGGCAACTGAGACATCAGCCAGATTTTCCTATAGTTCCCTGATCTCTGGACCACATCTGTTGAAGTCTGACCCTGAGCCTAGAAGCACACCCCCACCTCCATTCCAATAGCCTTGCAATAATTTTGTGGGTACCTAATTCCCTATATCAAAGCCCTTTCTGATAAAGATATATAAAGTAGTTTTCGTTTTCTCCATTGAACCCTAAATGATATAGGTATCAAAAAGCTTCTTTAATATCACTACCAATAAACTTAGAGCTTCCCTGAACATTCTTTCAGGAAAATGATATTGATCACACAATATTATGTTTCCTTTTCTTGCACAGATGGCAGAATTTTGTTGAGATGCTGAGCAGAGCTTCTTCTGATTTGTTGGCTGATTTGCCTACAGGTAAGTTCCATTATTTTGTTGCTCCTGAGGACCTCCCATTTCCAGAGCTATTGTTGATTGTGCTGCTTAGCTTGAATGGTTTGCTTGTTGGGTTTCATCTCATTCCTCCCAGAAATGTAAATGGCTCCCCAGTGAAGGGAAAACAGGAGTGGGGATTGCCTTAATGGCTATTCTTTCAGGCCAGGGGGATCAAAGAAGGCATAATTCCCCAAGTTTTCTTTTATCATGTGGCATTTTCTAATGGCAACCCTTTAAGATGAATGCAACATACTTGCAGAATAAATTGGTATTACTTATTAGAATTTCAGTTGCACAGTCCCTTAGATCTAGGAATCCCACAGCTATATATTTATTCCACTGACATTTAAATAAAAAAAACCCTCCAAGAGGTATGTTTGTGTATATATGTATGTGTGTGTGTGTGTGTGTATACATATATATATGTGTGTGGGTGTGTATACATATATATATATACATATGCACACATACATATATATATATGTTTAGTACAGCATTTTGGGGGCGATATTTTTTTAAATGGAAATAACAAAAAGATCTTTCATTGTCCATTTAACTCAATTACAGTACAACCAGTTGATAAGACTATGCAGCTATAAAATAACATGGCTAGGCTACTACAGGAATATTTCTAAAACATATTATTAAGTGAAATTTCACTTAATAAAGAATTGGGCAAAATATTTGCCAATTAACAAGTTTTAAATATGACAGGTGAAAAATATGCATTGATATTATATTAAGCTGCTGTTGTAGTTTTTCTATTTACTATATCCATCAACCATTTACATTTGAACCACTCTTTGGTTCAAAATACAAGGTACTGAGTGTGTGTGTGTGTGTGTGTGTGTGTGTGTATGTGTTGGGGAATTGACATATCAGTCTATATTCAAATAGAAAAACAGAAACCTTACTAGATATTTCAAACAGAAGGAATTTACTACAGGGATTTGGTTATACAAGTATTAGAAGGCTGAAAGATCAAAGAGGGGATGGTATTTTCATTTCCCAGGACTGCCATAACAAATTACCATAATCTCAGTGGCTTAAAACAACAGAAATTTATTCTCTCACAGTTCTGCAGGCTAGAAATATGAACTCAAGGTGTCAACAGGGCTATTTTCCCTCTGAGTCTCTAGAAAAGAGTCCTGCCTTCCTTTTTTCAACTTGTAGTAGCCCCAGGCCTCCCTTGGCCTGGTATTGTATAACCGCAATCTCTGCCTCCATCGTCACAAAGCCTTCTTCCTTCTGTGTCTCCGTTGTGTCTCTGCATCCAAATATCCCTCTCCTTTCTCTTGTAAAGACACCTGTCACGGGATTTAGGGCTCACACTAATCTAGAATGACCTCATCTTAACTTGATTACATCTGAAACACCTTGTTTTCAAATAATGTCAGATTCACAGCTTACGGTGATTAAGAATATATCTATCCTTTGGAGGGACATTATCCAATCCACTACAGTGAAATAATGCAGACATTCATGACTGCAGGAAGCAGCCACCATCCTTAAGGCTGAGGGAACATAGAGAAAGGGGTCCTACCATAGAATCTAGTCAGACCAAGAGCTACGACAAAGCTGGTTCTAGGATCTCCAAGAAAATGCCAAGCAGCTGGAGAAAGGATTTCAGAGCTGGTTGGTTCTTGGAGCACAACATAGTTTGGAGCTCAGACCTCGAAGAAGGTGGCTGTGCTTGAACCTCTTACAGAGCACTGTGTGGTCAATGCTAGACCACTGATGGAATGTCATGTAGCTGTTCATCAGACCTTTGATGTTTCACACGTGGCTAGTGCGGAGAATGTTGAGAAACATTATACCAGTCGCTCTTTTCTGATTCTGGACAGGTTCTTGCTGTATCCTTACAGGATCTGTCCTCTGTGTGTGCATCCCTGGTGCTCTATGGGTCCAAATTTCTTCTTCTTATAAAGGCACCAGTTAGACTGGAGTAGAGCCTACCCTAACAGCCTCATTCTAACTTAATCACTTCTTTAAAGGCCCCCATCTCCAAATATGGTCATGTTTTTAGGTACTAGGGGTTAGAGCTTCAACATACAAATTTGGGGGGGAACAGAATCCAGAATTCGGAATTCACATGGCATAGCAGAAAAAGTATGTAAAAATAGAGGTTGAAGTCTCCCTTTTGCAACTAAATAACCACTAAATAGACATTACACGGTTATTTATAATGGTTATATTCAGATACTTATTTTACTTCTGACTCATTTTTCTTGTCTCTAAAATGGGCAAAAAATAAATAAATAAAAACCTGCCCTATTGATCTCATAGGGTGATTGTGAGTCTGACAAACAAAATAGGCAATGTTTCACTAAGTTTTTTAGACAGTATGGTACTCTCCAGAATAGGGTTTTGTGGTGGTATTGCTATTGCTGCATTGTTGAGACAGCCTGCTGCTTACTGAGAAAGTTAATATCTTGGTCTCTTCCCATTTCTGCACTTTGGATCTATGACAACAAAAATGCCCTCGTGCACTGAGTGAGCCATTTTATTTGCCTGTTCTTTAGCTCCACAAGTAAATATTATGAAAGGGAAGGGGGAACATTACACAGAAACTAAAGAAATCTACTCCTTATCAGTGTGTAGAACTGTGAATTTTCACCTTCCTGGGACCCCTTTGCACTGAGAGATGCTATGATAACCTGATTAAAATGATTCATTTCATATATACTGCTTTATAATAAAATTTATTTCTTTTCAAATTATAAAAATCCTGTGAACTTGCTTTTTAATGTACATATGATTTTCACATAAATATTTAGTATCTGTGACTTACACTAACGACAAGAATAGACTAGTTTCCAGGTGACCAAACCTCCAGGCAAGAACTAGAAGACTTAAAAAAACAGACCTAAAAATACAAAAACTAAATTTTAAAAACACAATAGACAGGTGTAACAGAAGATTAGACCAAGCTGAAGAGAGGACTAGTGAACTGTAATATAGTTCAGTAGAAAACATCCAGATTGAAGCACGGATGAGAAATCAAGATGTAATACGTTAAAAAGCATATAGGAGACATATGGGGAAAGGTGACAACATCCAACATACATGTAACTAAAGTCACAGAAGAATAGGAGAAAGAGAATATTATTCGAAGCAATTATGACTGAGAGATTTCAAAAAGTGATGAAAGACATCTAGCCACAGAACCAAGAAATACCGTGAACTCCCACTAAGATAAATACAAAAGAGCTTAGGCCCCTCCAAACATGATAGGGTCTAAAGCAGTATTTCATAAAAAGGAAGCATGACCCCAAATTTGAGTTTCTTCACTGTGGAGCCTGTGAATGAGGGAGAGGAAGAAGAAGCAGGAAGTAAAGAATGATCATGATGGGGAGAATCACCAGAGAAGGAATGAATGCTGGGAAGCAAAAAATAAAATAAAATAATCAACTTCAGTCCCATGGCATGGTTCATGAGGACTTTTGGTCTGTAAACATTCAACCCACTTCTCTTTGCTTCCTATTCTGCCTCAGCGAGGCTCTCCTCTTAGCCGGAAGGCACCAGACACTCCTACATCATGGCCTTTGTCTTTGCTGTAACATTTTTCTTGAATGCCCTTTCCCCGTTTATTTTTATGACTTGCTCCCTTGTTTCTCCTCCACACTTGGTTCTATTTTCACATCACTTATTCAAAGAGGCCTTTGGTGAATTTCCTATCCATAATGGGTTTTAGTTATATTTATAGCTTATCAATACCTGACATTATTTTACGCACCTATTTGCTCCCCATGAGAAGAAAGATTCTGTCTTGTTCATTGTTGTATCATAATGCCTAGGACAGTGCCTGGCATATAGTATGCACCTCACAGATATGTGTTAAATGAATGAAAGAGTTAGAATCACCGACCTAACCCCACCTCTATTATCTCAAGCACATAACTGAAACATTCATTGCCTCAGTTTCTTCATCTGTCAAATGAGGAAAACTTCTACCTCACAGGGATATGCTTTAGACTATGTGGAAACATCTTCCATTTATAGATATTTGACATATATTATTAATAATTTTCTTCCCACAAAAGCTTCATTTGGTAGGTCCAGTGAGGCCAGAAGCTTTTATTGAAATCAGTTGTTCTCTACCCAGTTTCCCTTTAGAATCACCTAGGTAATTTTTTTCAAAGCACTGAGCTGACTTCTGTCCCCCGAGATTCTGATGTAATTGGTCTAGTGTGACACCTGAGCACTGGTAATTTTTAAAGCTGCACAGGTGGGTCTAATGTGCAGCCAGTGATTTCAAGACCACTGATTTCAAGTCATTAGTGGGAGCAGACAGGAGGGCTGGCTGTGTAACTCTCAGAATCCACTGGAAGCCCTGTAAAACCTGGCCCTTCCCACACCTGGAAATCTCTAGAAGCCAGCTTGGCTTATTTCCTCCAGTACAAATCTTCAACTGGCAGACTAGACAGATGGTTATTATTCATCCTTCTTGCTGTGTTAGAAAGAAAAAAAAAATGAGTTCGGCCTCAGGTTTTTCAAACGATTTTTACACGTGCAAACCATTACCTTTTTATATGCTATTAGGTATTAGGAAGGAGAAAGGGAAGCTTAAAAGACAGCTAGCAGACTAGCATATATTTTCTCTTAATGGAGCTTTTAAAAGTGAAGACAGTAGAAAGTAACTGGATGAGGACAAAGTCTAGGTTCTAGATCTTATTCTTAAAAGGATAATACATTGAACACTGCCCAGAAAAAAAAAAATGCCTGGCACGTCCTAATTAACATTAGGTCCTCTTCTCTAGGGAAACGAGATTTGTTTAAGGTAATATAATAATAACACAACCACAAATAATAATATCTTGTATTGAACATCTTCCATGTGTTAAGTATTTTATGTAGGTATTTTTTTTTATCTCCACAAATATTACAGCAAATTGCTGTAATTTGACAAATGAAAGAATTAAGATCCAAAAGCTTGTAGCTGGTGAAAGGAAGCATCAGAGTTAGCCTTCAGGGCTGTCTGATACCAAAGTTCATCCTCCTCCCCTTATTCCATATACTTCTAGAATCCCTTCAACTGGAGAATTCTATTATTGAGAGTAATTTGAACCTTTTTCCCCTGCAATAAACAGAAAGCTTTTCTTGCAAACTGAATGAAATAAGCCAGGACCTACGCTACTAGGTGATGATGAGTTCTCAAGACAGCTTAAATGTTCAGCTGATCAAATAAGATCTGCCCTAAAGAGGCTGTCCTTATTGGCTGCCATCATGATCCTCATTAAGCATCTATTAAGGTTTACACTATATAGCATCTGGGGTAAGTTTGAGAGGATAAAGAAATGGATAGAAAAATCTCTCCTCTCCAAGGATTGGAAAAGGAATTGGAGAAATGGAACTATGTATTCAGTGACTTTATTTTCCAAACTCCAAATTAGGGCATATGATCATTCATTCATTCAATAAGCATGCTTTGAGCACTCATCCTAAAGCTGAGTGCTAGGACTTCAGAAAAGATTAGAAAATCACATTGTCTTCTCCATCAAGAAACTGAGGGAGAAGATACATAATAATTTGTAGGTGCAATGTTAAAAGTCTGTCTAATAAAAGGTGTTTAAATCTGATATGTGACTTTATTTATAAAAAAATCCTTACCTAGATAACACTGTTAGTTAACATTTATTGAGCACATTCTATGTTCCAGGTACTTGCTTTACACTTTCTAATCCATTTAATTCTCATAATGGCCTATGGGTTTTATTATCCCCATTTTACAGAAGAGGAAACTGAGACACAGAGAGGACAAGTAAATTGCCCAAGGTCATGCAGCTACTAAAGGAGCCAGGAATTGAATCCAAGGCATCTGGTTTCAGAGCCTATACTCTCAACCACTCTGTTACCCAGCCTCCCTTTACCTTTTTTTTTTAATTATTGATTGAATAATTTTTATTAAAAATAGTAAGACCCAACTTAGAAATAATATATATTTGTTAATGGCATATTTGAATTATGCACTGAATGTTGAAGCTGAGGCTCCCAGCAATCTGGGCTATGTGGTTGGCACACAGACTTGCAAAATAAATAAATAAGTCACTACATCATACTAAGGATGATACCAGCCTTAGATGACTTCAGCAGGTCTTCATGTCTTGTTCCTGTATCCTAAGGAAATCTCTTCTATTCATGATGGCAGCATCCTGCAACAAGTAGTACCTGGACAGTAGAATCCCCTGGGTTAGGGATGATGCTGTTCAAACCTCTTCCCGTACAGGAAAGGAACAAGGAAGGAGGAAGAGAAAGGTTGCACCTGATCCTTCAGGCACACACCTGCATGGAGGGAGGGGCAGAAATTCTTAAGAAGCAGAGCCATGGGAAGAGGACTCATCCCACTCTCTTAGCTATAAAAGGTTTTCTGATTCAGGACCTTCCTGCAGGCTGTTGTCTCTGCTTATCTACAATTCTCTGCTCCGTGAGCATCACCAACATCATCTTTGCCTGAATAAATCCTATTCATTCTTCAGGTGCCAATTTGTGTCACTTCCTCCAAGAAGCTGTTTCTATACCCCACCACTCCCACCTCTGCCCCAAAATAAGTTTAAATACTTTCCTATCTCCCCATATTTTTCTTTTGTAGTATTTATGGTAGCTCGCAATTAAATGACAGTTTGAGTAATTATCATCATCTATCTCCCCAATCTAAGGTCCACCAGGGTGGGAACCAGGTGTTTCTTATTTATCAGTGTGTCCCCATTACCGAACACAGCCCCAACCACACAGCAGAGCCTCAGTGTTTTCTTTGCCCAGAGTATATGTGTGTGTTAAACAAAGAAACCAAACTAAACCCCTCAATTTTTTCTTTCTCATTCAGGGAAGAATGAAAAGGAAGCCCCTGCCACTCTAGTGGAGCCTAAAGTCCCTGAGACGTCTCAAAGCAAAACTGAACATATGGTATGCACCTGAGGTATATAGAGTCTGGGGAAGGTTTTCACAGATCCTTGGCCTTCTCTTCTCTGATGCTGGGTGGGGCCCTCCCCTGTGGGTTTTTTGATTTCCACCCAACCCCTTGATGTCAGACTGTCTTTAACTTTGAGACTGTCCTCAGGCAGAGAAGGGAGGCCAAAGAACTCCTAGAGTGTGGGTTGGTTCTTGTCCTACCTGGTATGCAGAAACCTCTTGCCATCGCTTGGTGATGGGCTTGCCAACTGCCCCAAGAAATTGGACTTGTAGCATGTGTGTGGGTGTCCTTCCAAAGCTTGTGACCTATCCACCAACTGCCATCAGAATAAAGAGTGGTTATGAGACCTAATTTAACATCTTAATTCCAGCTTCCAGAAACTGAAAATGACCTTTTCCCCAGACATCGCATTTTAAAAGGTAATAGGCTCTCTGAGCAAAAAAGAAAAGGAAAAAAAGGAAAATCTGGCAAGTAGTTAAAATCCATTTTAATATTCCCAGCATTTAGCCAGGAGAAGTTATAGACAGAATTGAAAAACAGCCTGAGTTTTTCTGTTGTTGTTGTTTTTTAAATGCCCAGATTAGAACATAATTCATCTTAAAATGATGGGAGGCCTCTTCATGCACTTCACACGTTGAAATATTTTAGAAAATAGTATCCATTTTGGCAAGACTCTTGCCATGCAAGAAACAACAGCAAATGCTTTTCTCCTTGAGTGTTAAGTCTGTTGTGAATAAGATTATAAAAAATATACTTGCTCTTTTATTTTGCCTCTTGTTTAAGGATTTTATTGCATCTCTGAGATAAGTGATTCTTCTCACATTTCTGTATAAACAGAATTCATTGTCCCACTTTTTAGAAGGAGAAATTGAAGCAGAAGGTTGGGAGAGCAATTTTCCTATTGTCTCAGGGAAAATCATTTATTCACGCATTCATTTATTCGACCACTAAGCATGTCTTGACAACCTACTCTGTGCCAGCCACTCAACCAGACTCCAAGTACACAGAAATAACTATCTCACAGGCTCAGCCTCCAAGGAGATACTCATACAAATCCAATATCCAGTGATAAATGCTCTGATGGTGGGTAAAGAGGCTACAGAGAATCACTTCTCGCCCTGTCCAGGGCTCTCAGGGAAGGCTTCCCACAAGAAGGAGACTATGAACTGGGTCTTGAAGAATGAGTAGGAGGCTAAACAAGCAAGGCGTAGGTGGCAAGAAGGGCTTTTATAACAGAGGTAACAGCATTATAAAGGCATAAAGCAGCTTCGCTTTTTCAGGTTTTATGTGCATGGAGAAAAAGATGTAGGATTAAAAGAAGATAATCTGGAGAGAGAAGCAAGAGCAAGTACATAAATGTTTTTGTGTGCCAAGCAAGAAATTTGAACTTCATCCTGACACAGCAGGACCAAAACAGTATAGGATGTGTTAGTTTTACTTTGTTAGTTACTTACTTGAGCCTAATTCAGGTCCATATAAATATCCCGTTTCCCTTATCTTCAATGGCCAAAGAGAGTGTTAAACTATCTCAAGATATCTAAAAAT